CAGAGGAGGACACAGCGGCCCAGAGGACCATGTTTGTCCTTCCCAAGGACTTGGGTTTCTTCCAGGCTGGCTGAGATCAGAGCCCACACCCCGCCCATTCCTGCCCCAGGGACCCCCCAGGAGTCCCCCATGAGGGGACTGGCCGCCTAACCCAGGTCTCTTCCCACATTCCAGGGCACACTGTCCGCTGCCCCCCCCCAGGAGCCACTCCACATACCAGCTTGAGTCTGTCCACTCCAGCCCAGGAGGGGCTCTGGGGCCTGGGTGGCTAGGAGGATGCCCCAGGGCCCCTAGAACTCTCTCAGCACTCTTGAGGCTCTCATGTGTCCCTGTCCCAGTTCTGAGAGGGCAGCACCAGAGACCATGAGCCCAGTGGGGAAACTGAGGCCCAGAAGGCCATGCAGCATGCCTCCAGTGTGTCCCCCATCTGGGTAACTCTGCCATTCATCTTCTGAAGGACTGATTTAGGAGATGCAGGACAGACTTTCAAGCCAGGCCTCTGCAGGCACAACAGTGACCAGGAGAAGTCAGAGACACCCAGGCTGGTCCTGCCACACAGATGTATTCAGTTTGAGGCTTCAGAGGGTGGCGGAGAGGTGCACAGAGCTGAGGGCCGGGGCCCCCAGGCCCAGATGTGGTCTGGTACAGGTCAGGGTAGCCAGCAGGTGGTGCTGGGCTGAGCCTTGTGGGTTGGGCAGAAAGTTACCAGGTACCGGGCAGGAACACATGTAATGGAGGGAACAGCTAGGGCAGGAAGCAGTGTGGTGGAGGAGGGTGACTGGCAGCTAGAGGGGGATGCAGGGCTGGGGGAGGGGGGGCTGGGTGCTAAAGACCCTGGTAGGGCTTCGGTTCAATTCCAAGAGCAGTGGGCCCGAGGAAAGGATCCCTGCCTATCGCAGATGAGCTGCTGTGCCCTGCGGGTGCATTGGTAGAGCGCTTACTATATTCGGAGTGCACTGCTTGGGGAAAGTAGGAGGGGAGCGAGGGGAGACAGTTCCCCCAGGAGCAGCCGTCTCGGTGGAGATGGAGAAGGGGGATTAGCGTTTCTTGCACAGCCCTGCCCTGGGGGCCAGAAGTCCAGCATCAGCCCCCTGTCTGAGAGCAAGTTTGGGCAGGGCTGTGTGTTGTGGAGTCTCCAGGGAGAATCCTGGCCTCTCCCAGCTTCCAGAGGCTGCCCTGCTCCTAGGCCCCTTCTTCCAACTTCAGAGCATATGGCTGTCACCTCTGCCTACGTGGTGTGTGTGTGTGGATGCTTGTGATGGCACTTAGAGCCCTCCCAGTTAACCCATGACCGTTTGTCATCCCAGGGCTCCGGAGGGCTGAGGCAGGAGGATTGAAAGTTTGAGCCCAGCCTGGGCACCTTAGTGACTTAGCAAGACCCTGCCTCAAAATGAAAAATAAGAACAGGCTGGGATTGTAGCTCAGGGCAAAGGTGCTGGAATTGATTTCCAGTACTGCCCCCAACAAAAAAAAAAAAAGAAGAAGAAGAAGAAAAGAAAAAGATCATTTAATTGCATTTCAAAGTCCCACTGGCCCAGGGCAATAAAACTGAGGCCCCCGGAGCTGGGGCGGCCCGTTATCCAGCTACCTTGATCAGGTAGTGTGCATTTTCTAAGAACAGCCTCTTCTTAGCCACACAGCAGGAGCGCAACCAGGAAGCTGGCTGGTACTGGCCCAGGGCCCATCATCTAACCCACAGGCCTTATGTCACTTGTCCCAGTGGTGTCCTTTTGCCAAAAAACAACAACAACCACCAAAAAAAAAACCCAAAAAAAACCTTACATGTTCTCTCTCTCTCTCTCTCTCTCTCTCTCTCTCTCTCTCTCTC